ACTGTGAACAGGAGCCACAGGATACTGCTTACAGCAGGTTAGAGACATCAGGAAGACACACAATAACTATTAATGGAACACCTTAAATAATCCATACTACCTATCCCTTCCTCCAAAACAATGAGACCCAAATGCCATAAATTAATATGCCATCCGTACTGTCATACACAGGACTAACACCACCATAGCAAGCTCATCAAACACACATTTACCATGGATAGAATTTCCTAAAATTGCAAAAGATCTTCGGGTAAATGTACTAAAGGCAGTGCAAGTGAATTCCTACAGAGTTAAATTAAATGGACCTTTGCTACCAGAGAAATAAAAACAATACACAGCTGTTGCTCTCATTTTCTAGGATCCTGGGTGGACACACACAGAGTGTCAAAGACATGTGTGACAACCATTGTGCAGAACCTTATAAAGTTGCCAGTAAGGCTGACAAGAACTGAGCAGGAAATACTCCAAGACCTATTCAAAGGCTCTAAAAGAAAAAAAAAAAAAAAAAAAAAAAAAAAGGAGGAGGGGAAGGGGGTGACAGACTGCTTAAGATAACAGTTTCTGACATTTGGGGAATAAGAAACAAGGAAGAAGGATAGAGAACATCACTGTACAGAAGTTTCCAAAATAAAATTACTCTCATTCTTTTATTCAAACCAAACTTCAACCTCCCTCCTTGAACCCTGGCACAACTGCACAATTTGAAGCATATTTTTAAGTGCTTGTGCCATCACTGCAAGACATACTGATTTTTAAAGTTAGGAGATTTTTATTTCCTCTCCCTTCCAAAAACAAATTCTTTTGCACCTGAATAATTAAATAAAACAATCCATATATTTTTGTAAGGCATATGGCACAAATAGTCATCCTTTACCTTTTTCCCCCAACAGACACAGGACTGGATTACAGTAAGCCATACACTAAAAAACACACTGGCTGACCAAATTCAGAAGCCCAAAGGGTAACCCAAGCACAGAAACCCAGCTCTGTATACTGAAAGTGTTCCCATCCCTTTATCCTAGCACAAGCAACTGTACTAGTACTGACAATTACCTTGCAATGAAGACACATCCACTTCTCAGTTAATAAAGGGGTACCAAGTATGTATGAGAAAATAACATATCTTTGGGATTATCACATTAAAAATGAATTACAGATGTAAGGTGTAAGACTCACAAGCCCTGCAAAACAGTAAGCCCCCTCCAGATCTGCCATGGTGAACTGTGTAACACCACATGCAGCAGATACTCAGAAAGAGAGTGAGAGCACATTGTCAGTTATGCCTTTTGCCTAAAGATGCACAAAACTTTCCTGATAACATGCCCCAACCAACCATTGGTAGAGCATGGAGTTACTAGCTGCTGGTGACTTTCCTTTTTGTCATTTTGAATATGCTTTAAGAACAAACACTGCTATAGCACAAGTGATGCATGTGTTCAAAGCTCCCTTAATCAGCTGTATAAAGTGGCAAGTTGATTCGCCCTAACTCATTATATTTCTAGCAGAAAATAGGTATACATAACACATATGTATATAATGCTATGTATATGGATGCATATAAATATATGTATCTGTATATGTAGCAGAAAACTGTATAGCAGTAAAAAAAAAAAAAAAGTACTGGTTTGTAATAGAGGACTGAGGTTTAATTGTAGAATATCTGTGTTGGAAGGGACCCACACAGACCATCGAGTCCAACTCCTTGGTCCCCAATAGATCAACAAAAATAACCCACAAAACGTCAGATCATGTGTTTCAGAGCATTGTCCACATCTCGAACTCCAGCAGCTCATTGTCATGACCACTTCCCTCAGGAGCCTCTTCCAGTGCCTGACTACCCTCTTGGTGATGAACCTTTTCCTGATATCCAGTCTGAACCTCCCCTGTCACAGCTTCAAGCCATTCCCTTGGGTCCTAATAAAAACCTAGAGTTGCGTACTTTTCTTCTTTTGGTGGTTTGAATAGGTGAAGAGGTGGTTTGAAGAGGCAATTTGAATAATGGCAAAAATATGTCTATTTTCTACTATACACTTTCTGCTATACATGAGTGGGAACTAAATAGTAGCCTACAAATTGGTAATCTTCCTAGAATTTGTTATGCCTGCTGAAGATGTTAACTACGAACACTGACTTTTAGATAAATGTAAATAAGTAGAACAAAACCAGAACAAATACCTTGCTAGCCACACATAGATCAAGCACTAGAAACTACATTTTAAAGTGCCCATGACCACTAGTTTGTTGAAAGGCAAGTTGAGAATTCTCCAACACTAAAGCTACCGACATTGTTCTATAACTTATTATATATATTTAATATTTTCAATATAAATATATTAAATATATAAATATATATAATATATATTGTAATATATATAATATTTTAATGTATTTAATATTTTAAATTACTTGTGAATCTCATGAGATTTTGAAAGTTGATCTTTATGTCAATTACAGGTTTCTGAAACTCCCATGAACACCTAGTCAAGCGATAAACTTCTGTTAGCTTGTTTTCCTTCCACACAGCGGCTAAGCTGAAAGTTGCATTTCCAGAAGATGCACAGGCAATGGTACTTGCTTCTACACAGAGCCATGGAGCTTCTCCAGCTGCAGCTCTGACCCATCATGGGAGAGGCAGATTTTGCTTAGTGACAGCAATGTATTCTTTTCTCTCTTGTTCTCGGTCCAGAGATCTGTTACCAAATTCAGGCTCTCTGCTGGATTAGGGGACAAAGAGTCAGACTGGAAAGAGTAAACCAAGAGAAAATGGACAGTGAAAACTGGGACTGGGTGATGGCAGACAGCAGGAGAGACTGGCTAGAGCAGACAATGAAAGAAGGACTGAATACTCCTTCGTACTTCAGGTCTGAGAGGGAAAACACTAGAAAATAGAAACCAGTGCATATGTACATGCCTGTTTGAAAGGGAGATTAGATTAGAAAAACAGCTGGGAAGACTACAGCTCATTTGACAAGGTGATTAGGAGCAGGATACTAAGTACCCATGAAGCAGTCTGTAATGGCAAAGTAAATAAAAAAGCACTGCAAGTGAGAAAGGAGACAGGGAGGAAGTCTGGAGGGTTGGGCTATGACTTTCCTGGTGTTCAGCAGGGGGGCTGAAACTAAGATGAGAAGTCTGTAAGCAGACTTAGCTGGGTGGATGACACATAGGAACCAACAGGTGCTGTGAGTGATGACAAATAAGAAAAAAATCATGCTTTCAGTAAGGAATGACTTATAACAAAGAACTCAAAAAAGAGAAGCCCTGGAGCTCAACCCAGACAGCCAAAACTTCCACGCACATTTATCTTACTCTCTCTATACCCCATTATCTGTCTGTGAAATGAGAATAATGCAGACTTCCTACACTCGTCAGACCTCATGAGCATCACAGTAGACAAAAAGAACAGTTCTGTCTTTAGAGCAGCATAGAACAGAGCACATGCATAATACACAAGAAAGAAAGAAAGAAAGAAAGAAAGAAGCAACACATTTATTACCAACTGAACACTGAGCATTCTGCAGACTAACCAAGGGAGATGGGAAACTACTGCTGTAACTCAAAAGCCACTTACCTGTCTAGAGGTGTGAATTAGAGCTGAATGTGTTTTAATTTTGGAATTTGGCAACTTGCACGCCTTATATTTACAAATCCAAAAACACTCTTAAAATTCATGTTTATGTATATAAATTGAAAACACTTCTGGCATTGCATTCCATTCAGTTGTATTACTCTTGAAATAAGTATTTGCAAAAATAAACTTGGTGCTCCCTGAGCCTAAGAGAGGTTGATAATGAAAGCATCTCTTTCTTGTGGTGGGTTACCCATACAGTACCAAAAATGTAATAGGTTAAGCAAACATTACACATTTTCCTACCTTTTTTTTCATTTGACATTACAATAAAAAATGGTTTGAAACTTGGCAATCACAAAGGAATACTATGAGTCAGCAAGAGTAACACTGTCCCAAAGAAACACCCCCTTAGACCCAGTCCTCACTAGCACATCCCTATTCCCAACCAGCTCCCTCCAAGGCAAAGTTCAGCAAAAATCATGACAGTCTGTAGTGGGTTTATGTGGCAAGCTTTTGGTAGCAGAAGGCTGCAGGGGTGGCTTCTGTGAGAAGAATCTAGAAGCTGCCCCATGTTAGAAAAGGGTCAGTTTCAGCTGGCTCCAAAGGGACCTGCTGCTGCCCAGAGCTGTGCCAACAAGTGATGTTGTTTGTGCCTCTGCAAAAGCAGGTTTAAGAAAGAAGAAAAAAAGAAAATTACTGCACAACAGCTGCTGTGAGAGTGAGGACCAGCCCTGCAGACCCCAAGGTCAGTGAAGGAGGGGGAGGAGGTGCTCCAGGTGCTCCCACCCCCCACGCCATGGGAGGGACCCACCCGGAGCAGGGGCAGTGAAGGAGCAGTGGAGAGTGTTATAGACTGACCACAATACCCATTCCCCCAGGCTGCTCAGGTGGAGAAGATGGAAGAGGGTGGATGGGGGGAAGGTGTTTTTAGTTTCTGTCCTTCCTTTCTCACTTCTCTAGCTTGTTAGCAATAGGCAATAAAATTGCTAATCTCCCTACTCTGAGCCTTTTTTGCCCGTCATGATAGTTGTTGAGTGATCTCCCTATCCTTATCTCAACCCCTGAGCACTTTTCACTGTATTTTCTCCCCCTTTCCTTTTGAGGAGGGGGAGCAAGAGAGTGGTTGTGGTGGAGAGCTCGGCTGCCACCTGAGTAAAACTACCCCAGACTTCTGGTTAGTAGCAGGTCAAGCAACGTATCACTGGCTATGACTTCATAAAAACATTAACTAAACATGCACTTTGCTACTCTTCTAACACAAACTCAACAAACAAACAAACAGCATTACAGAAGCACAATAAAACCCATATATGGAGCACTCAACACAGGTGATCTGGGGGGACTTCCCCCTCCCTAAACCTCAGACACCTTCACTTCAGGGCATCGCACCCCGAAGACGTCACACCGCACACGCAGCCTATTACTTCACCTGGCCTGTCGGCCACCAGGTATGCCGTGCATGACGAATAACCAGATGTACACCAATGCGAACTCTAGCACCGCAGGAGACTCCACAGCCACTGAGGGCCACACCACCCAAACCTTTAAAACCTCAAAAGCAGCCCCGTGGGCTGGCCGAGCTGAGGGTACGGGCAGGACTCCTCGTCGGGCACCTGCCACGGAAGACAGCCTCGCCTCCCCACCCTGCGACCGGGCTCAGGTAGCCGTCGGAGGGCGGACTGAGGAAGGAGAGAGGGCTGAAACCTCGGGCAGCAGCCGCGAGGCGAGGCACGACCCGCAGCCATCCTGAGGCGGACTCCGCGCCCCCCGCGGCGGGGCTCGCCCCCGCCATTTTAGGTGCCGCCCCGCCGAGCCCCGAGGGGCGGTGCTGCCCTGCCCTGCCCTGCCGGTACCGCTCCGGCCGCGCCCTCCGCCCCCTCCTCGCTCAGGTATCAGGCGAAACTGGTCGTGCGTGCGGGACGGGGCAGGACAGCGGCGGCCGGAGCGCGGCGGGAGGGACGATGGCTGGGCGCCGCGGGCTGTGCCTGCTGCTGCTGCTGCTGCAGCTGCTGCTGCTCAGCGCCCTGCTGGAAGCCGTCACGCCCTCAGGTGAGCGGGGCAGCGCCGGGCGGGGTGCCCCGCTGCGGGCACCGGAGCCCCGCGGCAGGGCTGGGGGAGCGCCGGTGCTGCGGCGGAGGGGGACGGCGGGGCGCAGGGTGAGGCTGTGGGGCTGGATCGCCTTGGGGAGCGGGGTGCGGGGAGCCCCGAGCAGCGCTCCTGGACGCCTGGCGGCTCCGAGCGGGGCTTCGCCAGTGTCAGGTGCTGCCGTGCCTGCCTGGTCCCCGGTAACGAGGCTGGAGGCGTGCTTAAGTGTTAAAAATGTTAAAATAAAATAAAATCCTGGCTTTTCAGAACCGGAAGAAAAAAATCCGGTTCTGAAAAGACAACCCATTTTTTATTCCTTTTTAAAAAAATCTTAATTCTTATCTTTGTTATTTTTTATTACTTTCTGAAAGCAAATACTGTTTAAAAAAAAAAAAAAAAAGGAAGGAAGGAAGAAAAGACATTCAAATCTCACTGCCCTACAGTTCATGTTTTGCTACCTTTTTATAGCAAAGCCTCCAAATCCCATTACCGTATCTGTGCACTTTGCACCGTGCCTCTCTGCATTAGTTCCCCTGTGCCTACTTACATAGTAAAAGTTTATGCGTAAGGACTATGTAAATATTGAAACCAAGCTTCTGGTAGTTCCTTTTTTCTCAGCAAATAGACACTAGGTGTTTAATACGTGGTTATCACCTGCATGATCAAACCAGTGCATGACAGTATCAGATATTTTATTTTGTTCTATTGTGCGGTGTATTTTGCATCGCTTTTTGTGCTGTCTAGAACTACTGTAGGTTGTAACAAATGGATCGTAGCGTCCTTAAAATCTTAAGGCAGTAAAAATCAGTGAGCCGTTAGGTGCAAATTTTGTGGTAGAGCAGCAGAGTTGGTGATACCAGATTGCCTCTTGGTATCTCAGCTATCTGACCAGGGCAAGCGTAAGCTGTAAAGGGGACAATATCTACTTGGGGTGGAAAAAGTAGTCTGCTTAAATGTTTTATCAGGTTGCTTGATCTTCTGGTGTTGAGAAGTGAGATGAGCTGGAAAAGGTATTCCCCTCCCAGACAAGGTAGATGCACTGCAAGTCAGGGAACGTGACAGTTTTCAAACAGGCTAAGGCCCTTGTAGGGTTGTGGTGAATCTTTGCTGTAGGACCAAGAACCTTAACCTTAGTCCTGTGTGGGTGAGTATTGCCACCAAGACCTAAGACGTTTTAGATACTCTGTGCTGCAGGGCAGACATCATCCATCGTTTGTTGTGCAGGTTTATATCTTCTGGACAAATAGCAAAGCTAGCAATGTTGAAACGGTCTTCTTGTGGGAGAGAGTGTTTGTCCCGATGATGCCAAGTAAGCTTTTCCTGTGGGCAGATTAGCAAGTTAACTGCATTCTCTGTATGTGAGTCAGGCAGGGTGAAACTGTTCTTGGAAGAAAAAAAGAAAAAGAAAAAAAAAAAAAAAAAAAAACAACAACAAAAACCTCAATTGTTATGGAAAACAGCAAGCAGAGAAAGAGTAAGAAAAGGATGTAGAAAATGCACATACCTAACAAAGGATTGGTTGCTCTGGGAGGGAGTGTTAACTACAAAGAGAAACAGGATACTGAAACAGTCTCCCTGTATGCATGCCAGCTGGGCTAACAAAAACTGCCCAGTATCTGCAGTCAGAAATATTGAGGCCAAAACTGAAACATATCCTTCAAGTAAGAATAAAAGCAAAACTTGGTGTCTGAAATCATATAATCATAAATCATATGCTTAATTTGATCATGTCTTCAAAAATAGAATAAATAGTAAGGAAAACTTTGTTCTGTCACTCTAGCAATACCGAGTCCTGTTTGTGGGTCATGTGTCTTTCAGTCTACTTTATTTCATATCACTCTTGTTCTTTTGTGACACGCTAACACACTATTTTTTTTTTTGAGACTATGCTTATTTCCTTCCACCCAGCCTATGAACACCGATGGCAAAACATTGCTTTTGTATCTGGTCACAAAATGTTTAAGTCTTTTGAGTGGAATATGAATAGTAAGACTGCAGTTTGATATGGTAAACTAGTTGTTGATATACACCTGCACAGTGCTAAGCTAAGCTTTATTGTTGTACTCGGAGAACTACTGTTAGCTTGTAGTAAAGGATCTGAGCACTCTGAGACCTTTCTCAGCCAACCTGGGGAAAGAAGTATTACTTAACATTTTACCATTTATATCTAATGCCTCAATGAGCTATGCTGATTCTCTATTTTTCTATTTACACCTCAGGTTAGGGACTTGGTTATTCTGTAATATGCAAGCAAAGTTTACAGTCCTTAAAGACATTACTGACATAATCATATGACTTGAAGACCTGAGAGCAGGATTTGTATGATTCTGCCATTTTGTAATTATACCACAAATAGGTCAAAATGAATATTTGTAATTGCAGTTGATTTTATCAGCAGAACAGTCCTGGCAAAAATATATACAAGTCTTTGTGGTAGACTGCACAGAGACTGAAGAAGTCCATGTCATTGTACTTGCAAAGAGCTTTCTTACACCACAGTCTTCCAGTGAAGCCTGCCTGTGCCTTGAACTTGACAAACCCTTGTTAAGTAGAGCTAGGGTAACTTAATTCAAAACTCGAAAGAACACCAATATATGTCATATTTCTGTACCTCTTTCTTAAGAGGTCACTAAGCCTAGGCAGGACCCTAATACTGTACATCAGGCGTTTGTAGTACTAACTTGAACAGCTATCTAGAGTTGTGCTTCTTTTGGCAATCTATTGTGGAAAACACACATACTTGTGTGTTTATTTATTTATTGTACGATAACTCTTGACTTATACATTCATAGAATCATAGAATATCTGAATTGTAAGGGACCCACATGGATCATCGAGTCCAACACCCTAAATAAAAAAAAAAAAAAGACTGTGGGTCTAAAAGTATTGTCCAAGCTCTTCTTGAACTCTATCAAGCTCAGTGCCATGCCCCCTTCCCTGGGGAGCCTGTTCCAGTGCCTACTTTAAAATGTAAGGTGTTATTCTAATTTATTCCATGCTGGAATTGTATCAAAACTACTATTTGTTGAAAGACAAAGGCACCGTCCTTCAACACTCTTCATGGCATATTAAACACCGACCTGCGTGCTCAATAAAATTCTTTATACTGTTTTTTGATGTTGCTGTTTTGGTTGGTGTGGTTTTGTTTGGTTTTTTTGTTTGTTTGTTTTGGGGGGTGGGGTGGGGACAGAGTGGCTAAAATTATTCACAAATATTTATAGATTTTGTGATAAGATTAATCTACTCTTACAAACAATCGTGTGCCATGTCCATTGAGTCTAGCTTGGTGGACATGTGACATTTTAGAACAGAGTGAATTCTTTGACAGTATCTGTGCAGTTTAACTTGTTTGTACAGGAGGACTGTGTTGTGTATCAGAGGTATTGTGGCAGGGGTCTCTGGACTGAGCCATCTGAAGGCTGTCATACAAGACGGAGCAGTCAGGAATGTCTGGCTTGCCTATATGGTTTACAGGTTCATGTGGCATCCAAAGAGGTAGAACAAAACCTGAAGTGATAGCTTTCTGGTGTAAGAAGCAACCATAGAATCATAGAACAGCTTGTGTTGGAAGAGACCTTAAAACCATCCAGTTCCAACCCCCTGTCATGCATACAGGGATGCTACCCACTAGACCAGGTTGCTCAAAGCCCCATCCAACCTCGTCTTTAACACCTCCAGGGATGGGACATCCACCGCTTCTCTGGGCAACTTGTTCCAGTGCCTTACCACCTTCTGAGTGAAGAATTTCCTCCTAATATCTAACCTAAATCACCCCTCTTTTAATTTAAAACCATTGTTCTTGTCCTATCTATCTGCCTGAGTACAATGTTGCTTTCCAGCAACCATGTCTGGCAGCTCTACTGATCTAGTGGTGCGAGTAGAAATAGTAGAGATTGCTTGACCATCTTATCTGTGAATTGGAAGGACACGACAGATGACCGGCCCTGTTGCACCTTCATGCTTAAAGTTAGTCTGTTCATGTTTTACTTCAGATACAGTGTAATAGACATCTTTCTTCAGAGGTCACTTGAGCATAGCTTCCTGCTTTGCATTCTGACTGTTTCAGTTCTAGCTGGTCTGACTGAGGACAGCATGATATCTTTAATGCACAGCTGGGTTTGAGCTCAACTTTTCATCATCAGTTTAAGGCCAAGGAAACTTCTACTGCAGATATACTGCAAGCATGCTGGAAAGTTCTAGAAATCCTAGCATTTGAGTAGCCTGGCAGTGCCATGAAAAAAGATAATCGTGCCCCTGGGTTACTTGAACAATTTTGTTTTAACTGTTCAGATGGTAGGAACACCTGACAGTCATTTCAATAATGTATTTTTATATTACTGGTGAGGCAGAAAAGCATTCTGGTTGCTGATACACAACCATTAAATAAGAATATAAGTGTATTTTGGGTAGTAAACTAAAATGAAGGGAAGAAAAATTGTCAAGTATTTGAAAAGCAGTCTCATTTTTCTGTTCACAAGACTCTCTTTAATTCTTCAGTGTAAATCATGTTGCCTACTTTATTTTAAAAAAAAAAAAAGTAGTTACATTTGTACGTCAGTAACAGTGACTTCTCTATTTTTTTTCTAGTGAAAAATGTAACCGTCAAGCCAAAAGGAAGAAGTTTTGTGGGCCAGAAAGTTACAAGTGCAAATAATGCCTCTGGGGAGTCCTTCTGGGAAGTGGATGACTTCGCAGCAAAAGTTCTTACAGGAAAGCTGACCACAGTTTTTCTTCCCATTGTGTATGTCATTGTCTTTATCATTGGTTTGCCAAGCAATGCCATGGCCATTTGGGTCTTTTTTTTCAGAACAAAGAAGAAACATCCTGCTGTGATTTATATGGTTAACTTGGCATTTGCAGACCTTCTCTTTGTTGTATGGTTCCCACTGAAGATTGCATACCATGTAAATGGCAATAACTGGCTATTCGGTGAAGGTCTCTGCAAAGTGCTTGTTGGATTTTTCTATGGAAATATGTACTGCTCCATTCTTTTTATGACATGTCTCAGTGTGCAAAGGTATTGGGTTGTAGTAAACCCCATAGTGAACTCAAGAAAGAAGTCTGAAATTGCTCTGGGCATCTCCCTTGCTATCTGGATAGTGATTTTGCTGGGCACCATTCCATTGTATCTTGTTAATCAGACAGTATATATTTCAGATCTTAACATCACTACCTGCCATGATGTGTTGTCTGAAAACGTTTTGGCTAACTACATGTTCAATTACTTTCTCTCACTTGCGATTGGACTCTTTCTAATCCCAGCTCTCGTCACTGCTGTTGCTTACATACTAATGATTAAGACTCTGAATGCTTCCATCTCAGATATAAGCAATGGGAAGAAACGAAAAAGAGCAATCAAACTCATTATTGTTGTCCTGTCAATGTACCTCATCTGTTTTACACCTAGCAATGTGCTGCTTATTGTGCACTATTTACTCCTCAAAAAAAACAACAGCCAAAGCCATCTGTATGCATCATACATAACTGCACTGTGTCTTTCTACTCTGAACAGTTGTATCGATCCATTCGTCTATTACTATATTTCAAAGGACTTCAGAGGTAATCTTAGATATGCTCTTCTTTGCCGAAGCGTGCGAACTACGCGGAGGATGCAAGTTTCTCTCTCATCAAATAGACACACCAAGAAATCCATTTCTTACTCTTCAAACTCAAATGGTACCACTGAATCAACCTACTGAGTTTAGTCCTAGAAGAAAATGGAACTCTTACTACTGGTGTTGAAAGGAAGACAAGAAATTTATTTTGTATTACAGTTTGAAGAACACCTTTGCTTTTTGACTCACGCTGAAGCCTAGATTTCAGAACTGGGAGCTGCTTTTCCTTTATAGAAATGTCAAGCAGATAAATCTTCCAACCATGCTGGGAAAACAAATAATGACATTTCTGATGCTTTGCAGAAGTGCTGCTCACCTTGAAGTGTGTTGTGGTTGAAGAAGTTTTTGTTCAATATTGAAGCTGCCAAAAAGGCAAATGTCACTGGAATGTTATTTAGAGTTTCTAGTATATTTAATTAACAGAGAAATCTGTTTTGTTTGGCTTTAACTGTAATATATTAAACATATTGTTTGTGTAGGACCTTGCACTGTGTACATGCTTACACTGAATGTTTTTTGAAACAGTAGCGAGAAAGAAAGGAGAATCTGTTCCACCGTCTTGGTGGGGGTCCAGCAACATGAGTGCTTATTATCTTAAGTATAATGTAATCTTATTGTATTTTTAAAATTTCCATGTTGTAAATACTAACTTGGTAGTAGCCTGGTCGGGTTATCTTTTTGAGTTGACCAGCTGAACTTGTTATCAGCTAGCACTGAACTAAATTAAATGTTAGTTGAGACGTTGAGATTATATATGGTTACTTAATAATCATGAGAACCTGGTCTTAAATCGGTCTGTTTAACAAAATTTTGATGAATAGGTTTGATTTTTATATAATGTCTTGTATTTTTTAAGATATCTAATATGATTTTTTTATAATACATTTGAGTTGTGTGCTTTCTTTTATGCATTTATATGCTTTTCAAAAGACTGAGAAGTTCACCTTGCTGGGTTTCGGGTAGCAGAGATATCATTCCTAATTGTGAATTAGAAGTCTGACTATTATAGCTGTAACGTTTAACGTGTCAAGTAAAAACATTTCATTAGAGCAAAACTCTATTCCCTTATCAGCAGATAACTAAACAAAATGATTCCAAATGCTTCAGAACTCTGGGGAAATAATGAGAGATAAACCATGTTTAGATTTCTAAATATCTTAAATCCTCCTCCCCCATCCATTTGTGATCACTCATGAATATGCAATCACACCAACTTCTCCAAAAAGCTGATGGTATACATTTGCTGGTAGGATTTAGATACATGTACATTCTCTCAAATCTTGCAGTCCTGGTAATTTTCACCAAGCTGGACATTGCACTACCATTAAAGTGACCTGAGACTTACATGTAGCAGGATTTCTGCAAACACAAGCAGATAGAAAAGCTGTCAGTCCAAAAAATACTCTGTTTTTTTGGTGATAACTCACTGACGTTTCAGTTGTTGCTGAGCAGTGCTTACGCTAAGTCAAGGACTTTTCAGCTTCTCATGCTGCCCTGCCAGTTAGGAAGCTGGGGGTGCACAAGGAACTGGGGGAGAACGCAGCCAGGACAGCTGGCCAGAGAAGTGTCCCCATACCACATACTATCATGCTGAACAATAAAAATGAGGGATAAAGAAGGAAGGAGTGGACATCAGGAGAGATGCAACTTCTCTTCCCATGAAACTGTTACATGTGATAAGCCCTGCTTTCCTGGAAGTGGCTGTCCACCTGCCTGCTGGTGGGAAGTAGTAAATGAATTCCTTCCTTTGCTTTGCTTGTGCACATGGCTTTTGCTTTACCTAGTTAATTGTTGTTATCTCAACATTTGAGTTTTCACACTTTTATCTTTCTGATTCTCTTCCCCCATCTCACCTACGGGGAGTGAGAGAGTGGCTGTGCAGTGCTCAGCTGCCTGCTGGAGTTAAAGCATGGCAGCATTTTAAAGGTGACGAATTGTCTATGAGTGTCCACATAATACCACAATGATGTCACTTATGATCAATGGATGACTCTTACATTGCTGAAAAATAATAGGCTTAATATAGCCATTCAGTCTTTGGGGGCTGTTGTGTTCCTGAAATTATAGAAGCTGTGGAAGCTACAACTTACAGAAACTACAATCTTGTATAGCAGTATATATTGCGTCAGATATATCTAAAATACTTCTTTCTGTAACATCCCAGAAGTTAAAGCATAGCTTTTTCAGTGCTTCCTCACTTGTGGATTAAAAAAGCAGATTGCAAGGAAGAGTCTTTCAACTCTTTCTTACAGCAGAGGTCTGCCAATGACATGCATAAGAGTTAGGCATTACTATTGTGTAGTTGAAAGCTTTTTGATAAAAAGTTTTAATTAATAGTATGATTTATCTTTAAAGAGATTGTACCATATGTGACATACTTTGGAGAAGACTGTTTAAGGAGCCCACAATCATCTATACGTTCACTGCATGCTGTGAAAAGATCTTTTTAGTCATGTTTCTTTTTATAGTATAGATCGCTAAAGTCCATTTTGATTTTCCTTCACTGTTTTACTGATATCATCTGAGGTTTATGTTGGGGTGGAGAGGAAGGCAAAATTCTGTGTTCTACTGCTCGTGGGGATCATTTTGGTCTGCATTGAACTGTTGTGTGGTTGGAGAGAACTGATACTGAGAATTTAATCCAACATTTAACTGTCTTTAAGATCTGTATCTCCTAAATAAACAATGCTGCAAGTGTGTCTTCATTTGCCTCAACCCAAGTGCAACGAAGAGCAAACTAAACTACAGATAAAGAGGAGGAACCCATATAAGAATTGTCTTATTTTCTTGTTCAGCTTTTCTTGAGCTCAAAACAGGGACAAATTGTAGCAAGGTAAATCCTTACTTTTAATACAGGTATCCCATCTATAGCTGCATTTCAAATCCTTATTCTAATTTAGAATGAAGGGGTAAATTTGCTTCCATTAATGGGACAGGTAGGCCATACTCTGTATGATACAGAGTATAATAAAAGTTGCAAATTTAAACAACATATATATGAGGTTAGAGTGTCGTAAGCCACTTGTTATCACGGAAGAGCACCTTAAGCTGTTGTCCTAGTTTTGGCTGGGATAGAGTTAATCTCTCTGGTGGTTGCTATATAATTGCTATATGATACTGTAAGTCATCACTGCTATGGTTGCTGTATGCCATATCAATGGTATTGCAGTCAACTGGATTAACAAAAAATTAATTTTGATGGAACTGAGCAAAAAGCAGTGGTGATGGAACCAGAAGTGGCTTCAGCATACAGCAGTTCAACACCAACTCTCCTGCCCTGAAGGACTGTTATAGCAGACGGAGCCCAAAGCCATTGACGAAATGAATTCAACAGCCATTTTGGAAGGATGGTGCATATTGTGGAGAAATTATATGCATCTGTATATGTATCAAAAGACAAGAAAGTTGGTGGTGATTAATTGGGATGTATTGGAAAGTGGGGGGTACTGTGACATAGATGATATAGTATAAGGGGTGTTTTTTGTCCTTGTTTCAGCTGGGATGGAGTTGATTTTCTTACTGGTGCTATGTTTAGGATGATAATAATGCTGCTAACATGCTGATGTTTCAGTTGTTGCTGAGCAGTGCTTACGCTAAGCCAAGGCCTTTTCAGCTTCTCATGCTGCCCTGCCAGCGAGGAGGTTGGTGGTGCACAAGGAGCTGGGAGGGGACACAGCCAGGACAGCTGGCCCTAGGGGGCCAGAGGGGTGTCCCATACCACATGGCATCATACTGGACAATAGGAACAGGGGAGTTGGCCTGGGGGTCTGTCACTGCTCAGGGTCTGGCTGTGCATCAGTGATGAGCAACTGAATTGTGCATCATGTTCTTTGTATATGCCTTTATCATCATTATCATTATTCTTAACATTGTTACTACTACTACTACTACTACTACTACTACCACTATGTTTTTTCCCTTCATTTTCTGTCTTATTAAACTTGTCTTCATCTCAACCCACAAGTTTTACCTTCTTCCAATTTTCTCTCCCATCCCACTGAGGGGGAGTAAGCAAATGTCTGTCTGGTACTGAGCTGCCTGCTGGGTTACACTACAGCAGCTGCTGTGCTACAATCCTGTTTTTCTTCCCTTTCTTTCTCAGGCACAAGTTCTTATGCAGCTGAGTAGGAAAGCAAGTTAGGGAGCTGATTCAACAGAAAACTAGAATTACTGAAGAGGATTGATTAAATTACAGAAATTTGAATTAGTTCTTTTAATTGACAATTGTGTTTGTATATAGCCATATAGCAATGGGGTAAGAACAGTTAGCCCAGTAGGGTGAAATAGGCTTCTAAACTTTCATTGAAACTGTGTCCTCAGGCAGGACTGATTGGTATAAAGGTAGTCACCTTTTGCTATTAAAACAAGTGTTATATGTAAATACAAATATTTTCCTGAGCAGTTAGAGTGCTAACTTTGCAGTTTAAACACCAATCAGTGCAAAACAAACAAACCAACAAACCCCACACATAGCTTATATAAGGTTGAGATGCTGTGAAAAATACTCCTTGAAAGTGTCAGGGAGTTAGAAATCAATGTAATTTGTGTGCACAGTGTCATGGTTTCACAGTCAGCTTGAGCACGTGCTGCATGTAAGAGACTGTAAACCAGTGTTTCCTCTGGCCTGACATCTTTGTCACACCGTTCCCTCATATTGTCACAAGCATGTGTGACCTTGTGGTGGATAGGATTACTGAAGAGTAATCAGTTAAAGTTAAACCTGGAAGGAGGCAAAGGTTGCTTTTTTCTTGAAACAGCTTCTGCTTGGTTTACTGGATGAGGGCTTGGCTGGGCACAAGCGAGAGGCAGTCTTTCTCTTTCGCTGTCAGCACCTGTGGATCTACAAAGCAAGTTGAAGCGTGGGAGCTGTGAGGCCTCTGCCTAACCTCCTAAGCAGTGAGGAGTGAACCTCCACACAAGAACATAAGAATGGCTCTGCTGGCTCAGACCCAGGGCCCATCCAGCACAGCCATGCCTCTGGAGGTCTGCAGGGCTGTAAGATGTCAGGAGCTGAGTCAAAAACAGAACTGCTGAACAGGGCACACGACCAACAGATAGACATTAGTTGTGGCTGGGGAAGTTTGTCACATTGCACCGCCACATGAGTGATATGCTACGGAGCTGCCACAATGTGCCTTGAAGCCCAGAGGAAAAAGGAAGGGGGCGGGGACAAATGAAGGCAGGAGGAGCTATACTCATTGCCACCTGTGAGAAAAACTGCTGCTACTAAATGTTAGTCTGTAACTCAATATGCATATGTGACAGCAACAAAGTGGTTATAGGCAGGTATCCACAGATGAGTAAAAACAATACAAGCATGTACTATATGCCCCAAAGTACTCTCCCAACATCCAGTTATTTTCAGCACAAGGGCTTCATTAAATCTGATGTGGTTCGTCTATTTTAGTAGCATCATTTAGGTGTCTTGCTGTGAAAATGAAAATCATTTAACCTGCTTTGAATCAGGATCATACAAACAGAATAATTAAGGTTGAAAGAATCTCCAAGATCATCTAGTCCAACCATCACCCTACAAACAATGTCACCCACTAAACTGTGTTCCTAAGCATCACATCCAGACTTTCTTTGAACACCCCCAGAGATGGTGACTCCACCACCTCTCTGGGCAACCAGTTCCAATGCCTGACTGCTCTTTCTAAGGAGAAATGTCTCCTCATTTCCAACCTAAACCTCCCCTGGTGCAAATTGAGGCCATTCTCTCAAGTCCTACCACTGGTTATCTGCGAGAAGAGTCTGACCCCCAGCTCCCCACACTTTCCTTTCAGGGAGTTGTAGAGAGCAGTAAGGCCTCCCCTGAGCCTCCTCTTCTCTAGACTAAACAACCCCAGTGCCCTCAGCAGCTCCCCATAGGACTTTTGTTCCA